CTACCAAAAAATATCCCTAGATTCTTCAACATGCCTTTAAATATTGCCTTTCCCTTCCCTCAACCCTGAATGCTTGGTGTTTACCCACAGACCAAGAACCTAGAGCAAAAGGTTCATGTGCATACCTGTGTATCCTGGTGGGAACCTTTGTCCCAGGCCAGTGAACAGTGATGAACTTTCCAAGGGCCCATATTTAGTTCCAACTTCATCCCCAACAACCCAAGGCTTATATAGAGCTATGGAGGGCAGCTTGATAGCAAGTTTGACAGTGAGTTGAAGCAAAGAAGACAGCACTAGGTTCAAAATTTCCATCACTCTTGCCTTGTGTGGTGTCCTCAGTCCCCAGCAGGCAACTAGAAAATGTAGGATGGGGCCAAGGACAGGTAATCAAAGACTAGTGCCCTGCAGAGGGCTGATGGCTCATGCCTATAATCCTGGTTAAACAGAAGGCTGAGATCTGAGCATTGAGATGTAAAGCCAGACCAAGCAGAAAAGTCCATGAGACTCTTATCTGTAATGAACACACAGAAGTGTGACTCAAGTAGTAGTGCATCAGCCTTGAGCAAAAGAGCAAGGTGAGAGTTTGAGAATCTGAGTTCAAGCCCCAGTACAGAAGGAAGGAAGGAATGAAGGAAGGAAGGAAGGAAGGAAGGAAGGAAGGAAGGAAGGAAGGAAGGAAGGAAGGAAGAAAAAAGGACTCATGTCCTGTGTCAGCCTGGGCCTTTTTATACCTGCCACCTGTGAGGAACCAGCTCAGCAAGCTTCAGGGCTTGCAGTTTCTTCTCTGAGGCAGCTACACCACAGGCAAGGTTTTTTGTTTTTTTGGTCAGTCATGGGCCTTGAACTCTGGGCCTGGGCACGGTTCCTGAGCTCTTCAGCTCAAGGCGAGTGCTCTACCTACCATTTGAGCCACAGCACCACTTCCAAAGCAAGGTTTTTCACAGAGGCTGGGAAAGTGGCCTTGTGGAAGAGCCAGGGCCATCCCTGTTGCAGGCTTGCAAACTGGAAAAAGGCCCAAGGCCTCCTCTCTGACCATTAAACCAGGGAAGTTGTAGGCAGAGCGTGTCCGCTGGAGGAGAGAAATTGGGTGACAGTTTGGTAAATAGCTCATGATTACCTTGCATAGAGATACATTCACTCCAAGTGTGGGCCAGGGATCAGTACCACTAGGGAGTTTGATGGAAAAAAAATACCGGACTCAGCCCTACCCTAGGCCTGCTCAACTAGAAGCTGCAGTTTAATAAGATCCCTATGTGATCACTATGCTTCAGGAACACTGCAGTGATTAGAGCTCAACCCCCTTTCTACCAGTTGGCAGTGGTGTGATGTACAAATATGCAATCTCTTAGGAATGCAGATTCCTCAAAAAGGGTTCACTATGTCTATCATTTTGGAACACTGGAAAGATCAAACAAAATAATAAGGTAACATTGATGCTATTAGGGAAGCACTCAGTAGAGGGACGTATTGTTAACTCTCTTTCTAATAAGAATAGCACCCTTAGTTAGCCCAGTGCCAGTGGCTTTACACTGGTGATCCTACCTACTCAGAAGGTTGAGATCTAAGGCTTAAAGTTCAGAGCCAATCCTGAATTCAATCTCCAGTTACTAGCAAAGAGAAAGGAAGAAACAAAAAATAAAAAAGAATGAATGAAAGAAAGAAGGAGCCAGGTGCTGGTGGCTCATTGCTTGTAATCTTAGTTACTCAGGAGGCTGAGATCTGAGAGTCATGGTTTGAAGCCAGGCCAGACAGAAAAGCCTTTGAGACTCTTATCTCTAATAAATTACGCAGAAAAAGTTGGAAGCAGCACTGTGGCTCAAGTGGTGAAGCACTAGCCTTAAGCACAAAGAGGCTCAGGGACAGTATCCAGGCCCTGAGTTCAAGCCCTAGGATGAGAAGAGAAAGGAAGGAAGGAAGGAAGGAAGGAAGGAAGGAAGGAAGGAAGGAAGGAAGGAAGGAAGGAATATGGAGCCAGGTGCTGGTGACTCATGCCTGTAATCTTAGCTACTTAGGAGGCTGAAATCTGAGGACTGCAATTCAAAACCAGATTGGGCAGTTAAGTCCATGAGCCTCTTATCTCCAATGAACTACCAGGAATTCCAAAGTGGAGCTGTGGCTCAAAGAGGTAGAGCACTAGCCTTGAGAAAAAGAGCTCAGGGACAGTGCCCAGGCCCTGAGTTCAAGCTCTACAACAAAGGAAGAAAGGAAGAGAGAAAGAAAGAAAGAAAGTAGGAAGGAAGGAAGGAAAAATGAAAGAAAGAAAAGAAAGAAAGAAAGAAAGAAAAAGACAGAAAGAAGGAAGGAGAAAGGAAGGAATGAAGGAAGAAAGGAAGAAAGAGAGAGAAAGAAAGAAAGAAAAAGACAGGAAGGAAGGAAGGAAGGAAGGAAGAAAGGAAGAAAGAGAGAGAAAGAAAGAAAGAAAAAGACAGGAAGGAAGGGAGGAAGGAAGGAAGGAAGGAAGGAAGGAAGGAAGAAAGAAAGAAAGAAAGAAAGAAAGAAAGAGGGAGGGAGGGAAGGGAGGGAATAGCACCCTTTGCCAGTTACTGTTGGATCACACTTGCAATCCAAGCTACCCAGGAGAATGAGATCTGAGGATTTTGGTTCAAAGCCAACCCCAGGCAGAAAATTCCTCTTATCTCCAAATAGCCAGCAAAAACCTGAAAGTGGGACAGTGGCTTAAATGGTAAAGTGCCAGCCATGAGCAAAAAAGCCAAGTGGTACTGTGAGGCCCTGAGCTCAAGCCTTAGAACCAGCACACCTCCACCCCCTCCCCCGGAAAGAAAAAAAAGAAAAAAAAGTAGCATACTTTATTGGAGACAGATTCTACTTGGCTGACATAAAAAGAGGCTTCTTTCTTCTCCCATGACATACTGGTTAAGGTTTCAAATCAAAATGACCCTCAGTCATTTTGTCCTTATGGGTAAGCTCTAGAATCTTGAGCAACTGAATTCTGTTTCTGTTTTCCTTGTGTATTAGAGTTGATAAAACCCTTATCAGAGGGATGTTCTGTAAAGATAAGGTGGTAGAGGTGTGGCTCAAGTGGTAGAGCACTTGCCTAGCACATGTAAGCCCCTGAATTCAAACTTCAGTACAGGAAAAAAGTAAATAAGTAAATAAAACCAATAAAACCAAGAATATATATGTATTGTTACTGTATATATACATACATATAAGAATATATATTCTTATCATTAAGTAGTTGTACAAAAGGATTTCAATTCAACACATCAGTTTATAAGTACAGTGCATCTTGATCAATGTCACACTTCTATCATTCTCCCCATCTTACCCAACCCCACCTGTCCCCTCAAGTTACATGGTTCTATTTTTACATATGTACATTAAATACAATGACTGTACTTGTCCACCTTTCCTAAGTCCTTCTCCTGGCTCTCCCCACCTTCCCCACGGGGCCCCCTCCATTTCCTATGAGTGGATTTTTTGTTCTCTGCCCTATTTCTCAGGTAGCAGAAGTCTAATCCCATCAATGCAGGCCCTGCCTGCTCTTGTCCTGCAGTAGTCCCAAAATGAGGCATTTATAGAATTCCTTGGCTTTTGAAGTATCATGTAGGCATCTGATGGAGATCTCTATCTTGTGATCCTGCTGGCTCATAGTGACAGAGTAGCCGCTTCTCTTGTTCTATTTACAATGCCGTTGAGATCCACAGATGTGCAGGGCCACATCTGTGTCACTCTTGGATGTGTAGGAAACCTACTTGGGCATTAGCCCATGTGAGGATCTTTAAACTGTGTTGACTATGCCTGTTTCTTCACCATGAGTCCTGTCACTTTTTAGGGTTTACACTGAAAAGGGACACAAGTGATTCTTTCCATAACTCCTGCCCCCACTGGTCCAGATCAGCTGATCTGCCTGGATGATAGCTTTTATCCTTCTGGCTTATGTACTATTCGTGTCCCAAGTCCTCCTCACAGTTCCAATCTCTATGAACTTGCCATTCAAACATTCTTCCTCAGCTTTTTAAATTCTTTTAAATATTACAATATCCCCTAAAGTAATGAATAAGTTCTCTGGCTGAATGGACAAAAGAGAAAGAGGATGGTTGATAATTAATTTACCTTCCCACTGGGCTATATTTTGCTGAGAAAAAAAAATTTAGCAAGTACAACTGGATGCTCATGGCTCACACCTGTAATCCTAGTTACTCAAGTGGTTGAGATCTGAAAGTCCAGGTTCAGAGCTAGCCCCAGCAGGAATGTCCGTGAGACTCTGATCTCCAACTAACCACCAGAAAACTGGGAATGGAGCTGTGGCTCAAAGTGTGGAATGCTAGCCTTAAGAAAAAGAGCACAGGGACATCACCCAGTCCCTAAGTTCAAGGCCCATGGACAAAAATATAAAAGAGAGAGAAAGAGAGGAAGAAAGGAAGGAAGGGAGAGAAATAGAGATAGAGAGAGACAGAGAGAGAGAAAAAGTTATTAGTGAAGCTATTGCCTGAGCGGTAGAGCATCAGCCTTGAGTGAAGAAGCTAAGGGACAGTGCCCAGGCCCTGAGTTCAAGCTCTAGTACCAGAGTGAGAATATGTTTTAAATTCCCAGGTGTTGGGACTGGGAAGGTGGCTCAGTGGTAGAGCACTTGCCTTACATGCTGAGGCCCTGGGTTCAATTCCTCAGTACCACATAAACAAAAAGAAAAAGGCCAGAAGTGGCGCTGTGGCTCAAGTGGTAGAGTGCTAACCTTGAGCTGAAGAGCTGAGGGATAGCGCCCAGGCCCAGAGTTCAGGCCCCACGACTGGACCCAAAAATAAAAAAATAAAAAATAAATAAATTCCCAGGTGCCTCTGTGTGGTCTGTCTGCTCCTATGTTCCCAGAGGAGCACTGGCCCCGCCCATGGAAGGTATAAGTACTGGAGATTCTGCTGGTTTTGGTAGAATGGTGCTTTCCTAGACCTACCACTGCTGCCCCCCCTGTGCCCCATGCAAAGGGTCCAGGGGCATGGGTCCTCCTTGACCGGTTGTCTTTTTTGGTCCCACCTCATCAGCACCCCCATTGAGCATGCTCCGGTGTGCACCAGCCAGGCCGCCACCCCACTGCTGCCCGCTTCTGCCCAGCCGCCTGCTGCTGCCTCTGCCAGTGCAGCCTCGCCACCCCTGGCTGCAGGTGCTGCCCATGCTGCCACCGCCTCTGCTACAGCCCCTGCCTCAAGCCCTATGGATAGTCCAAGGTAATTGGCCTGCAGGTGTCTGCCATCACTATGGGAAAGGAAAGCAGAAACACCCTGGAACCATCTTCGAACAGCTTGAGCCCATTGGTTGGTGTCCTGCAGAAATATAGGCAAGCCCAGAAGGGGCAGACATTGGCCTCATTTAGCCAGAGCTTGGCACAGAGACAGAGCAAGTGTGCACAGCCCTTAAGTCTGAGATCTTGGTCCCTATGACTATTTTATCTCTGCTCCTAGATCCTCTCAGTGCTTGGCGGTAGGTTTTGTCCTTGGGCTATTCCTGGCCAGAGCCCTAGAGAGGTAGCATCTCTCCTCCTATAGTTCTGCAGGGTTGGGTACTGCACCCATGGGGAGCAGGTAGAAGGAACACAGGAAGCTAGAGGCCAAGGAAGGTCAGTTTCTAGGAGTTCACTTCTCCACACACCCCCAACCTATAACCCATTTGCCTTGGGTGTTGATTGTGTGTTCCCTTTAGGATCTGAAAGATGCAGAGACATGTTCTGCAAGGTGTTCATTAATTTTAAGTGAAGAAAGGGGTTTCAAAAACAAATGGAATTGAGAAACATGGAGTCAGACAAGATTAAACAAGCTACTGAACTCCAGAGTTCCTGGAACTTTCAGCTCCTCAAAACAGAGGCCAAGTTCAGCATTTCCTGAGGGCAATGAACTAGGACACATTTTCCCCCATCCATTTGCTCCCATGGTTTCTGGGCCACATGTGGAGAGAGGCTGTTCAAGTCAGTGGGAAGAGGCAGCAGGAATTCTCTAAGTGGACCGGGTTTGCTTGGGAGAGCTGCTAGGAGCCTCGTGGCTTCTTCCTATGAACCCTTGCTGAAGCATTCTTGCTCAGAAACCTGAGACCATTGCTTGGACCAGCAATGACAAAATAATAGGACACCAATGTCTCACACCTATAATCGTAGCTACTCAAGAGGCTGAGATTTGAGGATTGCAGTTTGAAGCCAGCCCTGGAAAGAACATTTGTGAGACTCTAAGAAGCAGAAAGTAGAGCTGGAGCTCAAATAGTAGAGCAAAAAAGCTAAGGGGACAGCACTTAGGCCCTGAGTTCAAGCCCCATGACCAGCACAGAAAAGCGACAGACAGACAGACAGACAAGAAGTAGGAAGAAGAGGCCAGGTGGTGGAGGCTTTGAAGTCCATGGAAGTATTGGGGAATGGAGGACCAGGTAACTCTAACCACATCTATTTCCCTCCTTTTCCCTCCTGCCTCCATCCTGGATCCCACCACAGCATGGCAGTCCTATGGGGGAGTAAAGGCTAGGACCTTTTCTCCTTTCCCTCCAAAGGTGGTAGGACTAAGCACAGGGTATAGCTCCCCACTCCTGCAAGATTCTGACTTCTTCACAGCTTCTGGCAGCTCCCTCAAGAACCTTTTTTTCTTTTGGTCAGTCATGGGGCTTGAACTCTGGGCTTGGGCACTGTCCTGCGATCTTCATCTCAAGGTAAGCACTTTACCACTTGAGCCACAGTGCCACTTCTGGTTTTCTAGTGGTTTATTGGAGATGAGTCTCACAGACTTTCTTGCCCAGGCTGGCTTTGAACCGTGATCTTCAGATATCAGCCTCCTGAGTAGCTAGGATTACAGGTGTGAGCCACTGGTGCCCAGGTTCACCAAGAACCTTTTGGTGTGTGTTCCTGTAATGGGGCTTGAACCCTGGGCCTCACACTTGCGCTCAGCTTATTATTCATAGCTGGCGCTTTAACCTTTGAGACATACCTCCACTTGTCTTTTTGGTGGTTAATTGGAGATCATTCTCAGATTTGCCATCTGGGCTGACCCTTGATATCAGATCTCAGCATCCTTAGTAGTTAGGAGTATAGGTGCAAGCCCAAGTATATTTCTATCAGATTTCCTGCTCGTGGAGGCTTCTGGAGATCAGGGAGCCAGTTTGCCATGGCTGCCAGGTCCCTGATGGTAACTCTTTCCCCTTGGTTCCAGGCCGGGCTCTGCCTACAGCTCTTCAGCGGCTGCCTCTCCAGCACCAGCTTCTCATACAAGCTACAGCGAAGGTCCAGCTGCACCTGCACCCAAGCCCCGGGTTGTCACCACTGCCAGCATCCGGCCTTCTGTCTACCAGCCAGGTGAGAAGCAGAATGGGAGGGAAGGCTGTCCAGGCTGCACAAAGGGTGAGCTCTCAGGTCACATCTCCTGAAGAATGGTGGCCAGTGAGGCCCTGCTGTTGAGTCTCAGCCCTTCTGAAGCCATTTGTGGACAAGAATTCTTTGCAGCCTGTATCTGGCCTTAGAAGACAGGTAGACAGTGCCAGGTAGGGATGGGATCTCCTAGCTCTTAAAACGTGATGTTTCAGGGTTTGGAGGCATGGCTTAGTTGATAGAACACTAGCCAATGAGCAAAAGAGGCAGGTACTGAATTCAAATCTTGGTCTTGGACCTAAAAAGTAGAAAAAAGAAAAGCAAAGAAAGAAGCAGATGTTCTGGTTGAAACATTTATGTTCAAAGTGAGCATTAGAAGGTTTGGAGGAATGAGTAAGGGAAAAAAAGTACCATTCCTCCATGAATCTGGGTCTGGCTCAAGCTAGAGGACAGATTGCTGTCACAAAAAATGTCACAGGTGTGGGACTTACTGTATCACAGGGGAATCTTAACTGTTCTGTCTATTTTGTGGTTCTGTGGTTCCTAAGCAGAGGCAGTAAATCTGGAGGTACAGGGCCTGCTCAGGATGGGTCCAACACAACTCACTGGCCATTGTTCTTTCTGAGCTCCCGTCTTCGTCAGTGCCCAGGGTGGCCAGCAGGGACAGCAGAGTTAGCCCATGTCCCCTTGCCTTCCTAGCCAAAATTGGGTCTACTCTCTAAAGCCCAAGGGCAATTATTTAGGCTAATATGAAGCCTACGTTTCTGTGCCAGTTGGTATTCCTGGCATCCCCTCTTTCCCATTGGATTCTGACTCTGAACTCTAGTAGAGCAGGGCTATGGTGGATTTTCCCCCCTTATTACCTCACTTGGGCCTGGTATGAGGAGATATAAAGCGAAAGCAAAGAAAATGGAAGAACAGGACTAGAAATGTAGCTTAATGGTAGAGGACTTACCCAGTACGCTCAGGGTCCTGAGTGTGTGTGTGTGTGTGTGTGCGCGCGTGTGTGCGCGCACACATGCGTGCATGTAAGTGTTGGTCCTGGCGCTTGAATTCAAGGCCTGAATACTGTCTCTTAGCTTTTCTGCTCAAGGCTAGTGCTCTGCCACTTGAGGCACAGTTCTACTTCTAGCTTTTTGGTGGTTAATTGGAGATAAGAGCCTCACTGACTTTCCTGCCCAGGCTGGCTTTAAACCACAATCCTTCTGATCTCAGCCTCCTGAGTAGCTAGAAGGCGTGAGCCACCAGCACTTGGCTAGACTTTTTTTTAAGAGCAGTTTTAGATTTATAGCAGAACGAAGTGTGGAAGGTACAGCAACTTCCATGTCCTTCTTGCCTGGCATAGACACACACGATAAACTGATGAAGACAGGAAATCTGCAGACTTGTCTGGGAAGGAATGGGGTGGGTCATTCTAAGGAAGAGGGAAGGGGCACAGAGAAAGCCTTCTGTGCATAAGTGTGAATTACCCAGGAGCCAGAAGTTAAGAGCAACACTTGAACATCTAGACTCTGGGGCATGTCCTGTTCAGGCACAAGAGAGACTCCACTGAGTTTTTCTCCTGGGGATGGGGCACAGAGGAGCTGGGCCCGGTAAGGCCTTGTCTGGGGGAGATTGAGCTTGGCCTATGGGGCAGAGGTGCCATGATCAGTCCTGTTTTATAAAACTCATTCTGATCACAGTGTTGAGAGTGCAGGAAATACTTTAGTATCACATTGACAATTCCCAGGCTGCTCTGGAAAGTAAATCTACCCCATCTCTCAGACTCCAACTTCCTCATCTGAAAAATCAGGATGTGTGTGTGTGTGTGTGTGTGTATGTTCATGTATGCCAAGTGCAGCAAGTTTTGAAGTTAAAACTCCAGGGGCTGACCAGACACCGATGGATCATACCTGTAACCCAAGCTACTCAGGAGGCTAAGATCTGAGGATGGCAGTTTGAAGCTAGCTTGGCAGACAAGTTCATGAGATTCATCATTTCCAATTAATCACCAAAAAGTGGGAGTGGAGCTGTGGTGCAAGTGGTAAAGCGATAGCCTTAAGCAAAAAAGCTCAGCGCCCAGACTCTGAGTTCAAGTCCCAGGACTGGCTCACAACAACAACAAAAACACTACAAAACAGAAACCCAACAACTCTCCGGGGTGGAGTGGCATTTTGTATAGGGCTGCAATGTGACCGATCTTGGGTGGAAAGGATGGAAGTGGCCGCGCCTGGGAGACCGGGAACAGTGGCGGGAGCTCGTGGATGCGAGGCTGCGTGTGTCCCTGCGCAGAGGGCTTTTCTGCCCCCTGGTAGTGACAGAACCTCTGGACGCTTTCAGCGTGGCCGAGGTCGTTCCCCGAGGTCCCGCCAGGGGGCAACGCGGCTCCAGGGCGCGCACCGCTGGGCGCGCACCGCAGGCCCGGCCGGCGTCGTGCCTTTCCGCTCCAGTCCCGGGCAGGAGCCCTGGCGGGAGAGACGGGGTCGGAGCCGCGGGTCTCCGCGCCGTTCCCAGGCGCGGCAGACGTTAACTCATTGCTGCCTGGAGGAGAGAAGGGCGGGCAGTTCCCCAGCTTCCCGTCCCGGGGAGGCCCGGCCGCCGAGGGAGGTCCGGGGGCGGCTGGCTGGCGGCCCGGGCGAAGCAGGGAGCGTGGGCCCGCGCCCCACCCGGCTGCGGGGACCCGGGCAGCTCCCTGCGGGCCTCCCCCGGGCCCAGGGCGGCGTTCGTCGTGCCTGATCTTATCGTTGGCGCAGTATACCGAACACCTGGGGCCCGGGAGGGGCAGCGGCTCGGGGTCCCGCGAGGAAGGGATGGTCCAGGTGGCCACGTTGGCCCGGGGGTCGGGCCTGGGGCCGGGCCGGGCGGCGGCCGGGGAGCTCCGGGAGAGCCAGGCCCAGCTCGGCCCCGGAGTGAGTCAGAGATCAACCTTGTTTAATTACACAGTCTCGAGACCTCCGAGTGCGATAGGGAGCCTTTTGAACTTGCCAATTAGAGATGAAATATCACCTTCTAATTTGGACGTGCTGAATTCCATCATGCAGAAAATAGCAACAGAGCCCCGAGGCTCCCAGATGGATATCGTGTCTCTGGGCTTGTCGCGCGGCGAGGCAGGCTAAAGGGCACAGGGGGAAAGGGGACCGGAAAACAGCTCCAACCCACCCCACCCTGCCACTTCCAGGGAGTCGGGGGACTCCAAGTAGGGGGTGGGGGTGGCCCACCCCGCCACAAGGAAGGGCTGGGCCTCCCTGAGAGCTAGGAAACAGCCAAACAAGGAGGCTGATCCTAGTGTTAGGGAAGTTAGAAAAGGAGGGTAATCCAAGGGGTCCCAGGGGCTTTCACATGAGAGGAAGGGGGAGGGAGGCAGCAGGAGGAAGGGGGGCAGGAAAGGTGGATCCGCAGCAAGGTTTGCTGGGACAGGCGTGGCCTAAGCCTGCTCAACAGTCTAGGGTGTGGCTACGCCGGGGTGTTGAGCTGGACCGGTGTCCTGGTTTTTGCTAGGCAGCTGGCTGGCCGGATGGCTGACTTTGAACTCTCCAAGGCTCAATTCCTCCTCTGTAAAATGGACTATCAGTCTGGTTGCGCTGTGTGGTGTATTTATTTCCTGAGCTTATGCGTACCACCAGCCTGCATGTGGAAGCCACACTGGTAGCCATTGTTTTGATGAGAGACACCAAAATCTGAGAGCAAGAAATATTCAGGTAGTCAAAACTGCCTTGTGAAAAAGTTGGTGAACTTAGTTTTAATGTATTTATTTACCTCTGCCAATATCATAAATAGCTGTCGCAATCCCCGGAAACCAGGGACAAGACAGTAACAGACACCGGACCATGAAATTGAGGTTTGGGAACCAGGGGCCTGAAGTCTCTGCTAGCTTCAGGTGTCCTGGGTCCATTTTACAAGGTATTTATTGAGTAGGGTACAGGTGCATACACAGTGAAGTCACAATTTCCTTGAAGTCACAAGCACCAATCATGTGGTATATTTTTACTCAAGTGACTAACTTTTTTATCTTAAGAAGCAGGTGTAAGTAGTAAATGACTTATGGTTAACACAGATTTTTGTCTATCTGCAAATTCCCAGAAAGATTGGTGTGGAAATAGCCTATGCTGGGATAGAAATCTGAATTCCCTCCAAGCCAGGACTGATTGAACTTTTCGGGAAACTCTCAGTGTTCTGAGAGTTCATGTTGGGAAGAAGCATTCCATCCTCCCAATCCTTTCAGGTCTCACAGCTCGGCTTTTGGGGGCTCTCACAAAACCAGCAAACCTCTGGGCTCCAAGATGGATATTCTCTTTAAGCAAGATGACAGCAGAGCACCTAAAAGGTCCAGGAGAGTTAGCCAAGCTTGTGTAAGACACTAGGAGTTTCAATGTTAACAACCAAGGAAAGCTAACAAAATGGTGAAGATGTGGTCCCCATAGGAGGCATATAACCTTTCACTCGCTCTGGCTTCCTCCTTCTGGACAGTGGAATCTCCAGGCAACAGAAAGTCATTCATCCAGATGTGGACCCCGAAGGAACTTACTTCCTCCTCTCTCACCCACAATGCCATAGGACTAAGAGCCAGTACCTCTCTGGGTATCCCTCACCTTGTGGGGTACATTCATTGACCAATGAGAAGACATTTACACAATTTATTCTCACTGCTTTTTCCCTGCCTAGGCAGGGCTAGCATCAAAGCTCTGGCCTACTAGAGCATTGGGCAATCAGAAAATACAGAGTTCTTTCTTGCAGATTTTCTCTCTGTGTGGTTACATCTTTTATGGGACTGGTAGGTATGTTGGATTTACTTTTTTATCAGACCTGTTTAAACCTGTAATTTGGGGTGGGGGGGCATAGGAGACTTTCTTGCCCAGCTAGCTTCAAATCTCCATTCTCAGCTCTTACCCTCTTGCATGGCTAGAATGATAGGTTTGAGCCACCAGTGAGTGCCCAGCTGAAAGGCTGTCCCTCTTCTGAAAGAAATCAAGCGGTGTTGCCTGACCCCTAACCCTCTTCCCTGCAATGGAACTAATGAGTACAAGTCATAGAAGAAAGAGCAGCCTTCATTTCAAATGTCACCACACGCTTGGGCTTGTCAGGAAGACATTCCATGCTATCTCCTCTCCCCAGTCCTAGGTGGGCCCAAACCAATGATAGTGAATAGAGTTAGACCCCAGAGACAATAGAGATGACAATGACTAGGCCATGTTACTCCACTTCTTGCGGCCTTAACCAAAGGCTTGTCCAGGCTTAAGGATGGGAGGTGTTTTAGGTTGGAAAAAGGATATCATTTGGTGGGAATGTAACCTTGCTGAACCATTCTGAGACCCAGGTGCCACCCTCCTTGCCATCTACCCACACTTAGTGACACACACATGGTGTCAGCTACTAAGTTAAGTACTTTGTATTTCCTATTTTCCTTTAATCCTTATAATAACCTTATGGAGTATTATGGGTTGTTTATCACTTTTTTTTTTGATAAGGAAACGGAGGCCCAGGAACTTGCCCAATGATAGAGAGCCAGGAAATAGTAGAGTTGGGACATGAAGCTAGACTTTTTGAAGGGTAGTGCTGGGGAATCAAACCCAAAGTCTTTACATGCTAAACAAGCTAGCTACCACTAAACTATAATCCCAGCCCCAGGCTCTCCCAAGACAGGGCTCTCGATGGCTGTGCTACATTTCAGAACATGGGGTTTCCTCTATGCAGGAAGTATCAACTAGGGACAGTGGTAGAGCAGCAAACAAGACTTTGGGTTTCAATTCTTAGCATCAGTTGGAAGGAAGGAAGGAGAAGGGAAAGGAATGGAAGGGAACAGAAGCAAAAGGGAAGGCGGGAGAAGAAGAAAAAAGGAAAGGAAGGAGGAAGAGAGGGAAAAAGGGAGGTAAGTGGGAAGGACAAAAGGAAGGGAGGAAGGAAGAATGTCTAATTGCATGGAACACTAAATAGAACTGGACTTGTGTTCTTTACAGAAGCATTAGAAGGTTTTAGAGACTTTCTGAGTTTCTCTTCCTCCCCCCCCTCCCCTCATGCCCTTGAGGGTAAAAGATATTGTAAACCAAGGACTAGTGGCTCAAGTCTGTAATCCTAGCTACTCAGAAGGCTGAAATATGAGGATCAAGGTTCAAGGCAGCCAGGTAAGGAAAGGCCACAAGACTGATCTCCAACTAAGCACCAAAAATAAATAAATAAATAAATAAAATCGGGAAGTGGAGCTGTGGCTCAAATGGTAGAGCACAAAGAGTACAAACAAAGAGTGATGTACAACAAAGCTCAGGGCTAGTACCCAGATCTTGAATTCAAGCTCCAGGACACACACACACACACACACACACACACACACACCATTTTACTTATTTATTTTGTTGGTCCTGGACTTGAACTCAGGGTCTGGGTGCTGTCCCTAGCTTAAGGCTAGCGCTCTACCACTTGAGCCACAGTGCCACTTCGGGTTTTTTGAATAGTTTATTGGAGATAAGAGTGTCATGAACTTTCCTGCCCAGGCTGGCTGCGAACCACAATCCTCAGATTTCAGCCTCCTGAGTAGCTAGGATTACAGTTGTGATCTACCTCATCTAATAATAATATTAACAATGTAAGGATGATGATCTGCTGATCTGCTGTGTGCCTATCCCACCCCCTTCTCAGTAGGTGGGACAATTTCTTATGGAGAAGGTCCTTCTTCCTTTTAGGAGCCAGTAACACTCCCACTATGACTGATGACTCCTGGGTAAGCTGTGGGGGAGTTTTATGCCTTCCTATTCCATTATCCCTTCCAATAAGGGATGTCTGTGTGTTCCACATTTGCCAGCTGTGAAGGGCCATCATCTGGGAATCAAAGATGCATAGTTAGGGAAAGCTGGCCTCAGTCTACCCAAGATGGCCCAGGCATCAGGTAGGAAAGAGAGACCAGAAGTGGGGCCAGGGTCCTGAGGCCAGCTGGTGTGTGTGTGTGTGTGCACGCACATGCATTAGCACACACAGATCTAGCTCAGGAGGAGGCAAGAGGTCCTGCCAGGTCTCTTAAGAGAAGCAGGCTGGCAGAAGAGGTGAGGCTTCCAGAATCTTTTTCACTGAAGTCAGAGGTAGGATGAACCATGTCTCAGGACACAGCTAGGTCAGCCTAGCTAGGTCCACAGTGAGAGGTGGGAGAAACTTGGGTTCTAGCCAGGTGCCAGTGGCACATACCTGTCATCCTAGCTACTCAGGAGGCTAAGATATGAAGATCAAGGTTTGAAGCCAGCCTGTGCAAGAAAGTTTTTAAGACTCTTATCTCTAATGAACCACACACAAAAAAGCTGGAAATGGAGCTGTGACTCAGTGGTATAGTGCTAGCCTAGAGCAAAAAGTTCAAGAACAGTGCCCAGGCCTTGAGATCAAGTTCCAAGACTGGCACCAAAAAATAAAAATAAATAAAATAAAATAAATGGGTTCTGAGGGCTTTGGGGGTGGCAGCTGTAATGGCCTGTGTGTTGTGAGTCCACAGCTTCAGTGAGTGGCAGGAGACAGAGTGTATTCCCTTTCCTGTTCTCGGATTGCTTTTACTCCATTGGTACCTAGGGTGTTGGAGAGTGGGGGTCCTGGGGGAGGTTGGGGAGCACCCAGAGACCAAGTGAGCAGCTAGACGTGGGCTGTGTTATTCCTATCTCTTTGCCCAGACTCACTCTGAGTGATTCCTTCAAGACCCTTCCCCTTCTCAGCCAGAATCCTTCCAGGCCACCCCCCCCCCCATACACACACAGTACAAAGCAGTTGTAGCTAAACCTGAAATATGAACTTGAAAACCCAAAGGCTGGGCTGGATTCAGGTGTAACAAGAATGCAATATTTCAGAGTCCAATTACTGATCCCAGTGGCAGATGAATGCTTCCTTTGGTGCATGCTAAGTCAACTCACTTCAACCCTCTTCCAGGCCCAAGAACCCTCACACCCTGGCTCCCTGTCAGCCCCTGTAGGGCTCAGGCAGTCCCAGCCTGCTGGCTGAGCCCCACCCTGCACAGCTGCAAATATTTATAGCTACATGCCTTTCCCAGCCCTGTGCAAGCTCCCCAGGGCTCTGCTGGGCTTGCTTGCTATTTATTTCTTTAGGTTCCCTGAAGAAAGTTAAAATCTGAGCCTGAAAGAAGTTCAATAACATGTCTCCTAGTGGAGTGCTGGTGGCTCACACCTGTAATTCTGGTTACTCAGGAGGCTGAGAGCTGAGGATCGCGCAGTTTGAAGCCAGCTAGGGCAGCAAAGTCCAGGACACTTTTATTTCCAGTTGACTAGCAAAAAACTAGAAGTGGAGATGTGCCTCACTCAAGTAGTAGAGTTCCAGCCTTGAGTGAAGAAGCGAAGGAACAGCACCCATGCTCTAAGTTCAAGTCCTAGTACTGGCACTGGCATGTGCACGCATGTGCACACAACACACACACACACACACACACACACACACACACTATGTCTCCTTTGCCAATGTGAATTGAACTGTCCTCTTATCCCAGTGACCTTTTGTACTCCTCTGGCTGGCAGCAGGGAAGGAGGGGGAATGGATTCCTGACACATTTCTTTGGTTATTTTTGGTTTACAGTGCCTGCATCTACCTACAGCCCTGCCCCGGGGGCCAATTACAGTCCAACTCCCTACACCCCTTCCCCTGCCCCTGCCTATACCCCCTCTCCTGCCCCTGCCTACACTCCCTCTCCTGCCCCTGCCTATACCCCCTCCCCTGGCCCCACCTACACCCCTTCACCTGCTCCCACCTATTCTCCCTCCCCTGCACCAGCCTATACCCCCTCACCTGCTCCAAACTATAACCCTGCACCCTCAGCGGCCTACAGTGGGGGTCCTGCAGAGTCTGCCAGCCGTCCCCCCTGGGTGACCGATGACAGCTTCTCTCAGAAGTTTGCCCCCAGCAAGAGCACCACCTCCATCAGCAAGCAGACCCTGCCCCGGGGGGCTCCAGCCTACACCCAGATGGGTCCCCAGGTGACCCCCCCTGCCAGAGGGACTGTCCAGAGAGCAGAGCGATTCCCAGCCAGCAGCCGGACTCCGCTCTGTGGCCACTGCAACAACGTCATCCGGTATGGCTTCTGGGGCGCTGGAGGCGTGGCAGCATGCTCACCCAAGGGCTGAGCCCTGCAGGTGGAAGGGCAGGTGTGGGGAGATAAACCAGCCAGGCCTAGCAGCCTCAGGTCCCTCTGGATTGATATCTGTGTGGCCCTCTCTGGGCTGTAGTTTCCTTTCCTGTGTGACACCTACAGCCCTGGGGAAGATGGGAGGATCCAGTGAGGTAAGCTTTGGAGCTCCCAGCTTGGTGCCTGGTGCCTGGTGCCTGGAGCTCTCCCTTGGGCTAAGGTTGGGTTCTGGGAATCTCCAGCCTTTTCAATAGGTTTATTGGGCATACTGGCTGATGGCGCTGGCTTTGACTCCACTTTCCTTTAGGGTTGCTTCTGGGTCTTTCTACAGACAGGCCTGTGGCTCTCAAGGCTTTGGTAGACACTGAAATAAAAAACTAGCCTCTTTGCAGGGAGCTGGTGGCTCATACCTGTAATTCTAGCTATTCAGGAGACTGAAATCTGAGGAATGCAGTTAGAAGCCAGACCTGGCAAGAAAGTCTGTGAGACTCTTATCTCTAATTAACCACCAAAACAGCTGGAAGTGGAGCTGGGGCTCAAGTGGCAGAGCACTGGCCTTGAGCAAAAAAGCTGAGGGTAGCACCAAGCCCTGAGTTTAAGCCCAAGACCAGAATGCACACACAAAACAACAAAAAACAAGTCTCTTTAAACTTAACAGCCAGGAGTCATGAATTATGCTTGTTTAATACTCTGTGCGTGCGTGCGTGCGTGCGTGTGTGTGTGTGTGTGTGTGTGTGTGTGTGTGTTATGAGCCTATGTATATGAAAAAATATACTGTCTTTTTTTGGTGGTACTGAGGTTTGAATTCAGTTCTCTGCACTTGCTAGCAGGTGCTCTATTGCTTAAGCCACACTCCTGGTGAAAAATACACTCTTCTCACTTGTAGCAGCACACTGCCACTCAAAAATACTTTTGGATTTTGGAGCATTTCAGATTTTGATTTTTGGATTGAGGCTACTAATCAATCTTAGCTAGAAAAGAGCCTTGAATCTGTAATTTAATGAGTTTTTTTTGGGGGGGAGGGTCCGTCGTGGGGCCTGAACTCTGGGCCTGGGCACTGTCCCTCAGCTCTTCAGCTCAAGGCTAACACTTGAGCCACAGCACCACTTCCGGCTTTTTGCTTATGTGGTACTGAGGAATTGAACCCAGGGCCTCAGGCATGCAAGGCAAGCGCTCTACCACTGAGCCACCTTTCCAGCCCAATGAGTATTTATTCTTGATGATTAAAATTATGGGTAAATGCTTCCCCTATTCTTCCTCTTATTTTCTTTAAAATCTAGTGAAGAAATTTAGCAGGTTGTCAAATCCCAGTTCCCTCATCAATACTCCCAGTTCTTCTTGGGTGGGCCCTACTGTCATGGCAATATAGTGACATGATTTCAGAGGTAACTTAAAGTATTTGCCTTTCCACTTGGATAAACTAGGAAAGTTAGCATTAGTGATAATCTGATAACTTTGACTAATGACATTTTCATTTGTGGTCATAATCCAATGCCAAGAAATAAGACTGTGTCTCAAAAACGTCAAAGCAAGCCAGGTACCAATGGCTCACACCTGTCATCCTAGCTACTCAGGAGTCTGAGATCTGAGGATCACGCCTTCTAGTCAGTCCAAGCAGAGAAATCTGTGAGAGTCCTATCTCCAATCAATCAGCAAAAAGCTGGAAGTAAAGGTATGGCTCAAGTGGTGGAGTATCAGCCTTGAGCAAAAAAGCCAAGCAGGAGCATGAGGCCTGAGTTCAAACCCTCATACCAGCACACATAAAATGAATACTGAACACGAAAAGAGACCATTAAAAAGGAAATAAATTGATTTTTAAAGACTCAAACTGGTTTTAAATTAGGATGCAGAGGGAGAAAAAACTGTGGCTGATACCCTAAAAACTATTATAAAAAACTACACTACAAAATGATCACTCCCTTGAACCCATAAGAGAAATCTGAACAGTTGTCAGGCAGCAGAGCCGCGCAGGTCAGGTGCCTGTGAGGAGAATGAGCCCAGAGCCCAGGCAAGGCTTGGGAAGATGCTAGGCCTTTTGTCTGGGTTCTTTGCTCCTTTTGTCAGAGATTTGGGTTCTACACCCCATAGTGTGTGTGTGTGTGTGTGTGTGTGTGTGTGTGTGTGTGTGTGTGTGTGTGTGTGTGTGTGTATGGGCTTCTTGCTGAATAACTAGAGATAAGAGTTTCATGGAATTGTCTGCCCAGGTTAGCTTTGATCCATGATCCTCACATCTCAGCCTCCTGAGCATCTAGGATTGCAGTTGTAAGCCCCAACACCCTGCCCCTACAGTGGATATTTGAGTTGCTTCTGGGTTCTTTTTATTGTTAGTAAGACAACAGCAGACACCTTTCTTTATGGAGCTTTCTCAGAATTTTCTATGCTTCCAGTCGAATAGTCTCAAAAGTGGGAAATTCTTGAACTAGTGAGTTCCAGGTTGGGGTTGCTACTTATCAGGTACTGTTCTCTGCCTACCCAGGGGTCCTTTTCTGGTAGCCATGGGCCGTTCCTGGCACCCAGAGGAGTTCAACTGTGCCTACTGCAAGACCTCCCTGGCAGATGTGTGCTTTGTGGAAGAGCAGAACAATGTTTACTGTGAGCGGTGTTATGAGCAGTTCTTTGCCCCACTCTGTGCCAAGTGCAACACCAAAATCATGGGGGTAAGTGGGCAGCACCCCTCTCCATTGACCCTTGTCTTTTTTCCCTAATCCCACTTTCCTTTCCCTCTAAGATTGTGGGGTTCCATTTGGAAACTAAGAAATGACCAGGTGCTGGTGGCTCACATCTGTATTTTAGTTACTCAGGAAGCTGAGATCTGAGGATCATGGTTCAGAGCCAGCCTGGGCAGAAAAGCCAGTGAAATTCTTATCTCCAATGAACCACCAGAAAACTGGAAGTAGAGCTGTGGCTCAAAGTGGTAGAGCACTAGCCCTGAGCACAAAAACTCGAGGACAGTTCCCAGGCCCTGAGTTCAAGCCCCATGACCAACAAAAAGAAAAAAAAAATGAAAGAAAAGAAATGACTGCTAAGAGAATGAGCAACTCTTTATTTTTCTCCCACAAGGAGTTTGGTTTGCCATCAGTGAACTAGAGAGCAAATGAACTTGAGACAAGAAATAATTATGGGAAAAAAAGAGAAATAATTATGGGCCTGGACCATGCAGCTTGGAATGATAGGGGAATTCTGTAAAGCTAGTTATCCATTCATAGCCTGTTCTTACCATTCACCTGCAAGTGGCCTTGACCCTCAGTGCCCCTTGGGAATAGTGGCAGTAAAAAGCAGGACCTCCCTTCTATGTTTAATGGGGGATTAAGCATCATAGCTTATGGAAGAGTAAACAGAACCTGGCACCTAGCAAACTCAGGACACTAGGAACCTTTCCCATGCTTTCCTTAGCTTGTCCAAGATCTGCTTCCTGGGCCCTTCTGCTCTGTTTCCTGATGGCTACTTGGGCAGAAGCAGGGCCCTGATAGGGAAGTCAGAAATACCTCTTTTCCTTGGCTGGGTGTGGCTCACACCTATAATCCTAGCTACTCAGGAGGCTGAGATCTGAGGATTGCCCTTTGAAGCCAGCCCAGGCAGTAAAAGTTCTTTGGATTTAGCTTATCTCCAGTGAAAGACCAAAAGCCAGAAATAACGTTGTGGGGGCTGGGAAGTTGGCTCAGTGGTAGAGCGCTTGCCTTGCGTGCCTGAGGCCCTGGGTTCGATTCCTCAGCACCATATAAGCAAAAAGAAAAAAAAA